AGTCCTCCATGTAGGGACGGGTTTTATCACTAACCAAAGGAAGGGCTAATGGAGGTTTAAGGGTAATAGGGTAATAAGGTAATAGGGCTATTTGTAATTTATGTAATAATAATTCAAATAAAAAGTTAAGTTGTGCTGGTGGATCAACAGGATCATTCAACAGACATTTAAAAGTAATACATAACGTATATTAATAAATAATAATAAAATTCATAATACAATTGCTATAAAGAAATTTAATATTCAATAATAGAGAAATCTCAATTATTACAATACAAAAACATGGAGAATAAAATACACGGGTAATGCAGGTGAACGGGTATTTACAAATACACGTGTATTTTATTTACACGGACCTTAATCTCGTTTCAGATAAGAACACGTGTACCCGTGTAATTCATTACACGTGTAACGACGAGCACTAGTTTATATTAGAGCTTTTAATACACGTGAATTCACGGAATTCACGTGTCACGTGTCACGTATAAAATCCAAAAAAAAAACGTATATCCTTAACTTAATACAGTACTATTAATATTTTATTAAAACTTCAAGTGTATAACATAAAATTACTAATTTTACCATTGTAAAAATGGATATATATTTTGGATAAACATGTATTTCACGTGTACACGTGAATTCCGTGACACGTGTTTTAAGAGCTCTAGTTTATATACATTACGTAACAAAAATATTAGATTAATTGAAAAAATTCAATTATTAATAGTTAGGACCACGCTCTTTACGCTCTGTAAGCTTACAAAAAAAATACACATGGACGAAATCGTTTAACACTCAAAGTCGACACGGCACATCGGTTTATACAACCCACATTCAATGGTCCCGAATTAAATTGATAAATCAAATTTTATACATACATACACAAACAAAATTATTGTTACAAAGAAACATACCGGATAGAAGTATAAAATTACAACCTAATAAGAAATATAGAATTATATATTTCACTGATACTTTTGGTGTAATAAACCATAAGAATAAATTTAGCGATGATCGATTTTCTTGACTATTAAAATTTCGTGTACTTTAATAAGTCTCGTGCAAAATTTGAAGCTTACAAAATGTTACATAAACATGTAATACATATAAAACTAATTTGTACATATATATCATACGGAATTAAAATACTATTCATTCGTTTACTCAATGGATGTATAGATTTTTCTCACTTTTAGGTTAACTAGGAAATACTTTATTTTGTTTAATATATTAATTTTATCGGCTGTCATTTGAGTTATATGTAAATTAATATAATTTAAATAAGTAAAGTAAAATAACTTTATACTAAAAAACGGTTGTGCCCTTTTTCAATCTACATTTTTTTACAATAAAATAGTTTTTGCTCAAATCTATAATACAGGGTGGGGCAGTGAATCGGGCGATTTTAAAATAAATATAAAAAACCAACAAAAATGTTTTTAACAAATGTATTTAAATAACTTGAAAGTACATAAAATAGTATTAAAGAAATGTTAATTTTTATAAATTATATCCGCCAGATGACGTCTATTTCGAAGCAAACATTCGTCAATGCATCTTTGAAAACTGGTCGTGACGTTTCGCAGAATTTCCAGTGAAATTTGTGTCACCTCTTCTCGTATTTTTTTGTTTAAGATCATCAAGTGTCCTTAGTGTTGTTTAATATACTCTATTCTTGGTATACCCCCACAGAAAAAAATCACAGGCCGTTAAATCAGGTGAACGTGGGGGCCATGGAATATTACCATTTCGAGAAATTATACGGTTAGGAAACAATTCTTTCAGAATATTCATACTCATTCTAGCTGTATGACTCGTAGCTACATCTTGCTGAAAAATACAGTTACTCCATAATGAAAAATTTGTAGAATAAAAGAATTTTGCAACATCTGTGAATTAACAGTGACTGCTTCTCCACGTTCATTCTCGAAAAAATACGGCCCTATGATTCTTGAAGAAGATAAAGCACACCAAACCGTTACTTTAGAGGAATGCAGTGGTTTTTGATGAAGTTGACGAGGGTTTGTGTCACTCCAGTACCTAAAGTTTTACTTATTGACGTATCCGGATAGGTGAAAATGAGCCTCGTCACTCATCCATAAGTTATGGACCATATCTTCATTTTCATTAATCAAAGCTAAAAATTGTTCACAAAAATATCTTCGACTGACATTATCATTTTCATTGAGAGCTTGAACCACTTGAATTTTGTACGGATGATGATGGAGATCATCATGTAAAATTCTCCTAACGGTTCGGTTTGATAATCCGAGTGTAGCGCTATGACGACGACCCAACCGACGAGGGCTTCTTCCAATTGCTTCTCTAACTCGTTCAATATTCTCCTGAGTTCATATTTTGTTTTCTTCCACCTCTCTTTTTAATTTTTGTGTCACTCTGTTCGAAATTGTTCACCCATAATTTTATTGCGTGGGCTGACGGCACGGAAGGATTACGAAATGAGCGCGGAAACACGCTGCGCTACCGTGAACTACAGCTGTTTAGATAAAACGCTTTTACAGCGAACGCACATTGTCGTGCGGTTCAATGATTCATGATACCTAAACGCTTATTTATGGAGAACATAATTTTATAGTTGTAGTACGCACATATCAATTACAGGGCTTTCCGTAGTTATTTTAAAATCATCCGATTCGCTGCCTCACTCTGTAGTAAAATGTCTCCCGGCCAAGGTCGATTATTTCAGCTAGTAATAAGATAAAACTTTTAAAAGCCATTTGAAAAAAAAATGTTAATCGATTACAACTTACTGTTTACATATAATAGGTATCTAAACGACCGTAGTGACAATTATTGATAATTGACTTATACATATACAAGCCTCATCGGGTTAATTAAAAATAAACCATCGACCGTTTGCATAATATTAATAATAATTGGAAAATATGCATTCAGACCATTCAATATATTTATGAAGTCGCAAAATGCTTAAAACATGTGAAGTTTCGTCGTACCTACTTAAATTATTCTTATCAGTATGTATTCAGTAGCGCATTTGTCCACTATGAATATGCAAATAATTTTTGAAATGCATTTAGAAACGATGTAAGCAAAATATTTGGAAACGTGTTTTTTATAGACATGTACTGATCTTACTTAATATTTACTACTCATATTATCGGTCGTATTCCTCGTATAAATGCGATCGTACATCATAATAGAAATAATAATTCTTGTAGTCAATTTCCGACTGGGCCCAAACGCTGAAGCGACATCTACCCTGACGATATTTAGAATTACATTTTAAAAATTTTTAATACTAGAGCGCGTTGTTAATTCATTTTCAAAAAATACCACAACACTTGGTTTACTTTTAGAATTACCAAATAATCGCTACTCTCAAGTTATTTTTTAGCATCAGTGTTCGCAATTTTAAAACATCAGTTTTCGTTTATTATTAATACAATATTTGGACGTCATTTCAGTTAAATTACACATAAGAAAAATGGTAATCTCATCGACAATATAAATATTGAATGATTTCCATAAATTGAACATCAAAATGTTATACTTACAATATTAAAAGTGATGTAGTAAGCAGTTTAAAATATGCACACCTAAAAAAAAAATAACGAAATGTAAAAACAAGTGAATCATCTCAATTTATAACAAAATCAATATTTTAAACTTTAGTAATTTAAATCCAAAGCATATTTGCAGTTCCGTCTTTACCCTATGGGCACGTGGGGCACGTGCCCAGGGCCCCCAGCCAAATGGGGGCCCCGAATAATCGAAATTACAATTTTAAATTGTAAGCTGTAACGTATTAATATTTAATACGACCATCTATAAAAAAAATAATTCTAAATTTTAAAAAAAAAATTTGCACATTTCATCACATGGACGCGTATCGTACGCACGCGTTTTTAGTTTACATTGATTAAATATATATATTCGCATATTTATTGTAAGCTAGGTAAATGGCAATGTTAAAATGTTAAATAAATAATACTTAATGATTGTGTGCAATTAGGTACATTTGATATCTTATATTTCTTATCCCATTATCTAAACCGGGTTTTCTTTAATAATTTAAATCAGTTTCTGCCTGCCCGTATTATGAACTGGATTATTTATCTTATCTTAATTATGTCAAAGCAGTGAATTTAATAAGAATTCGATTTTAAACATTTTCAGTAAATACACAATAAAACTGACAGTCAGTACAAGTGCGCCGTTTGTCCGTTTCGTTTCGTTTATTTAACTATAATAAAAATATAAAATATAAAATTTTATTAGTGTCTGTAATAGAGTTGCAGTCTCATTTAATTATGTCAAAACGGACATATTTGAGTGGTTCAGAAAAAAGAAAAAGACTTGCGATCCAAAAAGAAAATATTAGCAAACTACCTAAGCTTACTTCATTTTTTACACTCGAAGAAACTGATAGGCAGACCGAGTTTCAACCTCGTCATTTCAAGGTACTTCTAAATTTGAAAGTCCAGAAATTGGACCCACTTTTAATTATATAACTAGTGTTTTGAGTTCATCAGCTCCAAATTTAACGACAGCCGTTAACACATAAGAGTTTAAAACTTCCAGCTTAAGCAACTGCGATTTAACAAATACACATATTATAGAAAATATATCTCACGACCCTGGTACTTACTGTGAAGATATTTTAACTGAGGAAAAACGCGATATTTGGATACTCAAAGGACCAGAGTTTTTCTAGAATAAAAATAGTGACTTTTCTGAAACTTTTACAAGTTTTTCAGATGTAAGTGGTAAAACAAAAAATAGAAGCTTGACTAGAAATGTTTTCACCCGCCTAATTGACGAATGAAGAGTGTGTAGAAAGAAATTAGCTCATATATTCGCCGTTGAAGAAAACTGTATATTGTTATTGATGTCGTATTTTTAATTATACTATTATTATAGGCAACAGTTTGAGTTCTTCTAATGGATACAAAGATTGGAAGCATATTAGTAACTTTTTAATGGAGCATGAGAATAGTTCACTACACAGGCAATCAATGATGAAGTATGTCTCAAGAAACAAAACTATTGCTCGAGTGGATAATGGATTAATTTCCCAATACAATGCTGAAATCAATTATTGGAAGAATGTACTCAAAAAGATTGTTGCTGTGGTGAAGTTTTTGGCTTCAAGAGGACTTGGAATTCGTGGTGATGATGAAATATTGGGATCTCAAAATAACGGTAATTATTTGGGATGCTTAAAATTAATAAGCGAGTTTGACCCTTTTCTAGCTGATCATATACAAAACTACGGAAATCGTGGAAAAGGAAGTACATCATATTTGTCTGCAAATATTTGCAACGAATTTATTAATATAATAGGAAAAAAAGTATCAACAACGATTATTAGTGAAATAAATGGAGCAAAATACTACTCAATAAGCGTCGATTCCACACCAGACCTGTCTCATATAGACCAACTTACTTTTATTGTACGGTTTGTTAAAGACGGAAAGCCTATTGAGAGATTTTTGCTATTTTTGCCTATCGAAGAGCATAAAGCGCAATACATGGCAGATACGGTTTTAAACTTTTTGGAAAACCTTAAAATTCAAATGAAAAATTGTCGTGGGCAGAGTTACGACAACGCCGCAAATATGGCAGGAAAGTATTCTGGTCTACAGGTAAAAATTAAAGAGCAATGTAAATTTGCAATTTTCGTCCCATGTGCAGCACATTCGTTGAATCTAGTAGGTGTCCAAGCGGTTGGATGTGTTTCAGAAGCAGTAGCATACTTTCAATTCGTCCAGAAATTGTTCAATTTTTTTTCGAGTTCAAACAATCGATGGAAGATATTAAAAGAATGTTTAGGCGGACAAAAAGTTCTGAAAAGCTTATCTGAAACCAGATGGTCTGCACGCACTGATGCTATTAATGCTTTGCATAATGGTTATGATCATATTTTTGAAGCTTTATTATTAATCGCTAAAAACACTGATCAATCAGCAGAAACGAGAAACGAGGCACAAAGTATTGCGAAAAAATGGAAAAATTGGAGACCATTATCCTAAATGAGACATGGAATGACCTTCTGGGAGCTATTATATAAAACAAGCTTAAGTCTACAGAATAATACTATAACAATGGACGTTGCAACAAAACTGTTTGCGTCACTTAACGAGTATATTAGTAATACACGCAAAAATTAATAATCATCCATTCATTTCAGTGGGGGGGGGGTTGAACCTCCAAAACCCCTCCCTGCGTCCATCACTATATTGAATATTGATCTTAGTGAATTTAAATTTAAATTACTTAACATAAAAATATGTTAAAATAAAATGTATAATTGACTCCTTTCTTCTGAATATGCTGAAATCTGTGATTCAATTTTATTTACGGGTACTACTGCCGTTTATTCATCTTTGATTCTTGGGTAAAGATGAGTTATTCCACTAGTATAAAGTATTAAAATCTCAAAAGTAGATATCTTAAGTATTTTTATTTAAGCATCTCATCATTTATGAGTCATAAATTTATTATCTAGAAAATAACAAAAAAAAAATTAATACATCTATTAACGATTGTATATAGAATAAATAAATTACTCAAACATTACAACATTAGAAACTTAATAAAAATATTTTTCCATGTTAAGAAACTGAAATCCAAACAAATTACAATTAAATGAATAAACATTATTGTAAAAGCCAAATAGCCCATAGTCTATCTGCACGTATTGGTACAGGTACAATATATGTATTTCAGTTATTTTAATTCAAATAGTTAATTAATTACCAAAACCATGAAAAATATAGGCTAGTGGTTAGTTAAACGATGAACCAAAATCTATTAATCTAATTTATTAAATATAATAATACGATTTCTATAAGAATGCAAACAGAAGTGTTGAAAATGACAACATTTAAAATGTTCAAGTAAAATCTGGGCTTGAGCAATGAATTAAGAAAATGATTTGATTGAAAAAAAATACTTTACATAAAAAATCGCACAATTCATTTTCATATTAATCCTACGGCCACTTTTCATGGCAATAGTAATGTAATTCATGGGTGGCACTATTTTTACTTAATAGTCTGAAGACAGTTGAATACTTTTCCCGAGAACAGTGGGACCCCTATCAATAGTTAATACCGAGATAAATATTATGTATCGTCTAAAAATTCTTCGAAATTTTTATTTTTATATTTTTTTAAATTCTATGAACTTATATTCGAATGCGATATTTTACAAACATATTTTTCTGATTTTGAAAATCAAAATCAACTTAATTGGGATAAACAAAAAAATAATACGTTAATTTCAAGTTAATTTGTATGGAAATGAGTTAAGTTAATAAATTAAGTTTTAATTTATTATTAATGAAATAATTTAAGTTAATAAGTTAATTTAACTTAACTTTTAACTTATTAACTCCCGGACTTAAAAACAAGATACACCTACAAAGTACTATAAGCTGGTATCTTAACTACTTACAAACTTGAGTCGGTAATTACGGTAGATTATTACATACCTACTTTCTTTATTGAGCACACAATATTGTATGCAACTGCATGCATATGAATTTTCCAATCAATATCAATTTTAAAATAGTATCAAAATGCACATAACTGTATACAATATTTATACTATTAAAAATATTTTACTTACCACGTGCATGGCTCACCTCTTTACAACTACCCAACATATCAATATTCATTAAAAATTACAATTTCAAAATATTGTATTATAATTGTAAATAGTCTTAAATTTTTAATTTACCTATGGATAATGTTACATAGTCATTAACCAATAACGGTTGGATAATGTTGGTTTTATTGGCTAGTGTTAAGATTATCCATTTCTTTTTGGTGGCTGAAGTCCGAAATTTTGACATTAGCCAAAAACATTGCCTAAATACAAGATTAGCCGTCCTTCGGATACTAGCTGTAACACGGACATCACGGACATACGGTTGAAATCACCAGATTTATATATAAGCGTATAAGCGTACTCATAAGCATATATCATCCTATAAAGTAATATACATCGCAACCTAAACGTATATTTGTATACACAAATCAATATACTATATTAATATCTAATATTTTTTTCCTATCAAACATTGTTTATCATTAAAATTATTTGTACTAAAAATTGATTTAAATATATTGTACGTTTGATAATAATATACATAAATAATATAACATACATTTAGAGCTATAATATTTTTTACTGAAAGTTTTTAAATTAAAAATTAAAAAACTAATTATTCACATGTCTCCTAATGAAAATGGGTAATATTTATAGGAAAACGAATTTATATTACGATTTATTATAGACAATACTCATTAACCAACAAATTCGTATTGTGATGTATTTTTCGAAAGTAAAATAATTTATTAAATAGAACTAATACTAGTAATTTCATAATTTTATTTATACAAATAAAATAACCAACTAATTAAAATTAATATATACATGATGAATACCCTTTAGAGAACAGGACTGATGACATAAAAACTATGTGCATTGTGAAATTAAAATTAATACATTTTTTTCTTTAATTTTAAAAATATTGATAAAAAAAAAAATAGTTTTGATAATTGTATACCAGTAAAGGCATGACTCCGTGGATTAAACAAAAAATAAAAACTTACTATACAGTTATTAACAAGTACAGAACAACAGTATAGAACATACAATATAGTGTTGCTAACGCATTTAACGACATTGCGCGCGCGCGCAAGGATACAAGAATATGTCTCATCGGGGTAATATTATAATATATGTGCGTTTGCCCCCAGAGTGAAGATCGCCGCTTACGTACGGTATAATATACACTTCAAACGTGCTATAGATGATCGTCGTTGTACGACCTGTCGGAAGAAACTTGTTGTAAACAACAGTAATTAACGAAGAAACATTAATTTTTTTTTTCGTCCACAGTTTATGCGTTGTTTTTTTTCATGTTATTACATTATCCCCGATAAACGGATAAAGGTCATAACTGCACCGCCTACAACAATAGGCACCTAATACACGTCGACCGCAACGACTAGAACTCTCTGTACACAAGCATGTATAAATATGAATACGTCCGTACAATATGCGTACGTACATATGATAATAATAACCCGTAGTCTGTCGTCATCCCGTCTATCGGACGGTCCGCGCACGTAATATATATATATATATATAAAATAATTATAATGGGCGCGTCCCGTGCACGGCCATGCTTTTATTTCACTATCGTAATATTGTCCACGTGCACGTGTATGCGCACATAAAGCATATAAATACGAGTGTGTAGTGTTTATAAACGCGTGGCGGCATCGTGTGTACGAATGAATATTAAACAGTATTATAACGATTATTGTCTTAAAGGTACGGCCCCACTGGGAGCGATTCTGTGATTCTGCGTTTCGAGCGTTTCTGCGATTTTACATGCGTTTCTGCATTTTTAGTTGCGCGTGTTCGTGTATTTTTCATTTGTTTATTCGATCCTCGACTAAGACGACGTCCAGAAAAATGTTGCTGGCTGAAAGTGCTGCTTTAATTGATATTTAAAAGATTATTATTATTATATTGCTTATAATTCTTTGAACATTCTGAAAATTAATGAAGATATCCACTCTCCCATCAGTATAATATTATAATTTATAACACTTTTCAGTTTTATAACATTCGATCTGAGAAATACTGTTTTTTTAATAAAAAGTACTTACAATAGATGTATAACAGTAATTATTGTCATTTGTTGTCAATATTTATCTAATTTTGCAGCTCTAATTTCTTTAAAATTATATGTCACCCCAAAGTAATGCAATACTTGTACTCTAGTTAAGAGCCTCAGTATACTTATTAGTTATTAGCTAATATACTATATTATACTATGATACTATATTAGCTAATATATCAAAATATATAATATTAATTAATTAAATTACCATTCATGTCAAGATCTTTTCTAATGTTGGACCAACATTTTTGAATCTTAGTCCTATTAAGCTGGAAACGCACCAGCTGAAACATTTTGTTGCGAAACGTCTCGCAACGTAGTTCAATGTTGCACGTTCCGCATTTTCTGTAGAATCAAATGATACTGGTGCGCATTGCGTGCAACATTGACTCGAAACGTTGTGCAACGTATCGCAACACGAGGGCGCTGTTGCGCTGCCGAAGACATCGTGCATCACTTTGTTCGCAACGTTCATAGCGCGTGTTTAATATTAATATATTATATTATTTAATATTAATAAATATTAAAATAATAAAAACAATTTTACTTATTAAATTTATTACTTGTACTTATACTTAAATATGGATATTGACGCGGATCGACTGCTCGTGCTTGTTGAGGCTCGACCCGCCATATATAATTTTAATTTAAAAGAACATCACAACCAGGACGTCATCAATCAATTGTGGAGCGAAATTGGACAAGAATTAAATATTACAGGTACATTAAAATATTAAAATATTACATTTAAATATTACAAAAGTAAAATTATAACCACGATATCGTCCGGGTATTGATTATTTCTTGTGCTATTGAATTATTTTTAGACTTGAATAATTATTAATTATTTTGGTTTTGTTGTTTTGTACTATTTATAATTTATATAATTAAAGTTCGCATCATGCTGAACAATAATAAACGCTAATATTAATATATATTAATGTTTATTAATTATAATAATAATAATAATATAATATAAATATATATTTATATATATATAAGTTACAGAATGCGAATTATAAATATTAATGTGATAAAAAAAACTTATAACAGTAGCTATAATGTTTTATATTTTTTTTTTTAAACACCTTGAACGTCTAAAGTCTAGCCATATACTCTTGCCATGATACTGAACCAATTGGCGAAACGAAATAATCAACGAAATTTTCTCGAACTTGATATGCATTTCGGGATGCTCTTGCTCTTGTCGGTTCCCTGCTTACGTCACACTCTTCTACATTTATCATTTCACTGTATACATCATTAATTATTCCTTCTTTCTTTCTAATCATATTGTGTAACACACAACAAGCTAAAGTTATTGTTGTT